AATAGCATTCAATTCATATGATCAGCACCTAATGATTTAGATAAAAATTCATAATATTAATAGCATTATAAAATATTGATTTCATTTGGCAGTGCATTGATATGATCATTAGCTTTGTTTGATTTTTTAAACTAATCGAATTCAATAAGTCTGGAAAAGTTAATGCTTTTGGTTTAATTCAATCAATTATAAATTCATTCAATAATAGAAAAATTAGGTCATTAAAAAATTTCAGGCTTAGAAAGACGTTTGTATCTTTAAATATTTCGAAATTTCAAACGTTAAATAATAGGAAAGTGTTCATGAGAAAGCTTTAACACTAGTCTAAAGTTAAGACTGGCTCATCGTTAAAATCATTGTTGTATAAACAATATTTGAGTTTGACGGTTCGAGCCCAGTTTGAATCTCGTTAAATAAATTAAATTTGAGATTAAATGGTTATCATTTAGACGATAACCAAATCATGAGATTACTTAACTTTTTTTTTTTAATTCAAAAAAATTTTACAATCGGTTATAAAAATTTTATTTCTATTAGGCTTTTCATTTCTTGTTCTGACCAATTAATTTCAGTTAAACTGTTTTAGTTTTACAAGCTTGACTGTTGAATATTATTTCGCGTCACAGTTAGTTAGATTCCGTAAATTTTATATTTTAGCAAGTTTCACAATCCATTGGAATGTTTATCTTCATTTTGTGATACATTTGTGTAGATAGTGATTTGTATAGTAAAGTAATTAAATAATTGTGTAATTATGTAGATACATCATAGGTTATGATCATTTAAGACGGAAAACTAAATAGAATGGTATCTATCTGAAAAAGCTAACAGTTTAATAATTCAATATTAAGAGATATTTCAGAGAATAGAAATCTTAAATAGTTTCAATTCGAAAATCATGTAGCTGCATCATAGGTGATGATCATTTAAAACTGAAAACTGAATAGAATGTTAACCATTCAGAAAAAAGGCTTATAGTTTTTTTCCGATAATGTAGAGATAATTCGAGAGATTATAAACAAAAATGGTTTTAATTCGAAATTTTTTTATAAATTAGTTATAAGATTCTATCTTTATTCATCCTCTTCTTCTTTTTCTCCAATTTATGTCAGTTAAATTGTTTCAGTTTATAAACTTTGCTGTTGAATATTATTTCAATTTAAAGTTAGCTAGAATTCGTAGATTAGATTAGATGCATATTGATATAAGGCATTGTGAAACTTAAGAATGTGTTTGAATTTATTATTTAGAATGAACTTTATTAATCCTTGAAAAATTTCCCTTGATATCCGATAATCAATTGGGTGCGAGAGATGATTGAAAGCAGCAACATCAATGCCATTTCAATGGCATTTGGCCATCAAGCCATCGACTATTCAAGCAGACTGAATTCATCCGTTAAATGGTATAGAGAAAAGAGGTAATTAAAAATGAGCTAAATAATCTAAGCTAATAATCTAGTATAATCTAATAATAAGCTATCAATATAACAACTAACTCACAATCATTTATCATAAGTACCAAAAACATTGTCCAGTTCACTGTTTTTCCAGCAAATTTAACAAAAGCTGTTATGGGAACAAATATAACATTAGAATGTGTCGCTCAAGGAATCAAATCATTACCGAAAATAAATTGGTTGAAAAAAAGAGATGGTGGCGGAGAGAAAGTTATCAGTGATTCGAAAAAGTATCGAAAGATAGCTGGTAATCTAGTTTTAACTTCAATCGACGAAAGTGACTCGGGAATTTACATTTGTAGAGCATCAATGGATGATATTTCAATCGAGACAAGTGCCATTGTTGATGTTCAAAGTACACCTCGATTCGTGAAAAGTTTACAAAATGTTAAAGTAGACGAAGGAAAAACTTTACTCTTGAATGTCAATCAACAGGTAATTCCAAACCAGAAATTGATTGGTTTTTAATGGTAAACTTTAAAAACAATCACAATTATCACCTTCATTATCAATTGAACATATACCTGGAGTAACAATTAACGAGCAACATACCGAATTAATAGTGACCAATGCCGTTCATCAATCCATTCAGGAATCTTTCAGTGTTTCGCTTCAAACGAACTGAACAATGATTACAAATCAACTTATTCTCTTTCTCATGTTAAAGTTTTACTTTCACGTGAATCTTTGGATAATTCAAGAATTTCAGAAGCCGATAAATCAATTAATCAAAAGAATCAGTACAATCTCTATTCTAGATGATATATTTAAACCCAATGGAGGTGGAGAAAACAATAGTAAAGAAAGAGAGAGAGGAAGAGGAAGGAAACGTCATGGTAAACCAATGATACCGCCAAGTAAACCTAAAGTCAACAGGTTATCAGATTATTCGGTTATGGTTTATTGGGAACTTTCCAACAAAACGAGTTTACCTGTTTCATTTTTCAAACTTCAGTACAAAGAATCGGGTCCCAAAAGTACATGGAACACTCTGTCTGAAGATATCGCACCTTGATAACAACACAAACTGTTTCTGGTCTTGTACCTGACTCGAAATATCGATTCAGAGTTATGGCAGTTTTAACAATTCAGATTATAGATCCGTTTCCGATAAATTTCATCTGATTCGAACTAGCATGTTGAAGAAACCCAAAGACGCACCGAACATAATTGCAGTTGTACCACAAAGCTCTACACAAATTCAAGTTATTTGGGACAATTACAAAAAAAAGTTCGACTTCTATTGAAGGATTTATTATCCATTATCGTGCAACCTCATCCGCGGGTGATTATTTCCAGATTCAGTTTTCCATGTATTGGTAAACTTTTAGTTCAATTAGTATTGCAACTTTTTTCAAAGTAAACTTTCAAGTTTAAACGCTGTCACAAAGTGAAAATGGCTGATCAATACTTGCCAACGCATTTTGTTAAGTAGAGGCTTTTATTTTAGTGTTAATTGTCACACAGAAACATGAGGCAGCCATTATATTTAATCAACTGTTATATTGTCATCCTTTAGTTTTATATTGAATTTAGTTAATCAAATTTTCTTTAATTACGTACTTTGAACTTTCAGCGGTTTAAAATCTATTTTAAAATTGTTCATAAACTAATCAATATTATTTATTTGATTATCTAATTAAAATTGGGTAAATCAACGATAAACTTTACATTGATAAACACTCTAATTAAATAACATTCGGAACCTGCCGTTAATCAAATAATAATTAGAGGGTAATGCAAACTAAACATCACCCACCACTCATGTACGACAACCAACACAGATATAAAAGCTCAGGTGATTGTGGAATATAGACAAAGAATTAGTTCATTTTCATTTGGTGACGAAGATTAAACTCAACAATGATCCATATTGAACTTGTGATCGTTTTAATCTTAGCAATTACTTCAAGTGTCCAACCGATTAGTGAAACGTGTGGTAATAGTACACAAAATGTAGAAGACGCTTTTCGTAACGGAGAGATATTTAAGGACCTGGATCTAAATCCACCCAGCGATGGAATGGGTTTTATACGAGTAACTTACGGAAATAAACAAGTTTCTTGTGGAACATTCTTATCCGTTACAGAGACCATGCTTCCTCCTTCAATAGACTTCGTTGCTGATTCGAGCAAGAATTACACTTTTCTTATGCTGGATCCCGATGTGCCTTCAAGTCGCAGCCCATTAGCTCGATCTGCTGTTCACTGGGTGATAATTGACATTCCTGGAGATAAGATTGCTTCAGGGAAGGAAGTCAAGTTTTATATTTCACCTGGACCACCTCCAGGTTCAGGAGCTCATCGATACGTTTTTCTGATCTATCAACAGCCCGATGGTAATATGGAAATGGGCCTTGTACCTCTACAACGAACTAATTTCAATGTCTCCCAATACGCGAAAGAACGAAATTTATCTGGTCCAACCGCTGGTAATTATTTTCTTGAGACAACAACACCCTCACTGAATACAACTAAATCTCCAATAAAATTACCGTGATTCTAAATATTAATAATAAATAAATTTAATTTTTATCTCGATAAATTCTGTTCATTTCAAACAATTTAAAAAAAGGCCGTTTCAGCTCATTGGCATTAAGACTAAACCAACAAACGTACCAGTGCAATTGAACAATTCATTAACGAATTTCAAAATTTGTAAATTAGAAACAAATTTTGACTTCGTCGCAGTTAAATTCTTCCTACATCAAGCAAACTAATTAAACATGACACTTTATCATTAAATATGATGATTAGAATGAATTTAAATTCAAGCCCTCACGTTGGTTAAATTAAAATTGACGGTTATTTCTCTTTAGAGTGAGAAATAATAACGTTATAAACGAGTATTGTCACAGAAAAATCGATCAGTTCATTTTTCCGTTCGATGCCAAAGTTGAAACTTATAACCCAATTAAAAATTATCGACCTGATCTTATTAAGAACTCTACGAACTCATCTTACCCTGAGATCTTAGTAACGCTCGTTACTATTAGTTAATAATTAGAGCTCATCGTTGGGTCTCTCAATAAGTCTTATTTGAACAGCCTCATGAATATTGATAATCAACCTAAAATGCTAACCAATTTTAATACTTGATTCGATACCTTCAATTTCATATGGAATCGATTCTGATCATGTTGATTTCTATGGATAAAATTTCTTTTAATTGTTATTAACCATTGGTTATTATTCGCCTCATTTTACTAATTACTAATAAGTCTCGATTAAGATAATCAAGTATTGAAATTGCAAACCAATTGATTGCACTCTATTCTTTATGGTAATGGTTAATTTGTATAAAAGATACATTTTATAAGAACAAAAATCTGAGATAATTAGTTATTTATGCACAATCAACCGGTAGATTGAACTAAATTGTCTTTATTTTAATCGTTACAATCAATGTCATTTAAATACTTCTGTTATTTTTAAGGATAATCAGTCGTTCATCTAGTGACTATTTAAGGTAGTGTGACTTCAAGTCTTTCTCATTTGCATAATTGAATCAATTGTTAATTGTTAAGTTGTATCAAGAAATAATGTTTAGTCCCTTTTTTAAGTTGTTCATTTTTTTCCTTGTCAATATTATCAATGTTCAATCGCAACATAACTATTTTCGTTGTCCATATCGATATGAATCGGTGGAAGAGTCTTTCAGGGAAAATAAAATAATCAGAGACTTGGATTTGGACGAGACTCAAATATATGATAACATTCAGTTCATTCCTCTTAAATACCCGAATTCTGACAAAGTGACATGTGGAGCGTATTTAACGAAAAAGGCTACAATGAAGGAACCACAAGTTACTTTCGACCCGGCAGGTAAAAAGAAAGGTGCTGATAAAAAATTGTTCACTTTTATGATGGTCGATCCTGATGCTCCAACTCCGAGAAATGCCACGTCCAGGTCGATACTCCATTGGTTGGTCGTTAACATCAAGGGAAACAATATGAAAACAGGCACTACTTTGGCCAAATATTTACCACCCGCACCGACACCGAATAAAGGAGCTCATCGATATGTGTTTTTGATTTATCGTCAACCGAAGGAAGTGGCCTCGAGAAAAACCTATGTAACATTGCAAGAACGATCAAACTTCCAAGTCACTTCCTTTGCTATACAAAACAGACTCTCGGGACCACTCGCAGGTAATTTCTTTAACGAAGCCGTGCAAAACTGATCAAATGGTCCAGATAAGCCGAATGCATCAACAATAAAACTTCTAGTTTATATTTTTCTGAAAAACTGGAAACACTAACGAAATATTCAAAATGTATCTTTACCCCCAACAATACGATTATTCAGTGAACCCAACGAACAGTAACGATAAAGCTGACCCACCGATACTACTAACAATTAGTAAAAATAAATTAAGATTATTTTCAATGTAAGAGTCAAGTTTATTGTCCAATCCTTTGATAATGATTTGTTAATCTTCTACATTCTTGAATAAGATTTGTCGAAATTTTGGGTAAAGATTACGCTCAAGCTACAAGGATTCTATGAGAGGTTAAGGTATCAAAAAATTCAGCCAAAAATCCTACAAAACGGAAAAATAGTACGATCAAAATCTGAGTAGCCGTTCATGAGAAATTCTGCCTCAAAGATTTTTATGTACGCATGCGCAGATAAGCTTTTTTAAAGCGCGCATTTCAAAAAGAAAGAGAAAGAGAAAGAGAGAGAGAGAAAGAGAAAGAGAGAAAGAAAGAGACGAGAGAGAAAGAGACGAGAGAGAAAGAGAAAGAGAGAGAGAGAGAGAGAGGAGAGAAAAAGAGAAAGAGAAAGAGAAAGAGAAAAAGAAAGAGAAAGAGAAAGAGAAAGAGAGAAAGAAAGAGACGAGAGAGAAAGAGAAAGAGAAAGACAGAGGAGAGAAAAAGAGAAAGAGAGAAAGAAAAAGAAATTTAGTTTTGAATTTTTCAATTAAAAAACGATGCCCATTTCACTAAACCACGGGTCTGGCAAACAACCTTAACAAACTTTCGTAAGAAAGTTTGTTCCCGCTTGTTATTATTATTGATATTTCAATAGTTGTTGACACTGGATCGTCAAAGGTTGAGCCAGTTAATATTTTTGAATATTCAGACACTCGAAGATCTTTTTCGGTAGTAAAATTAACAGAAGAAACGGCGATCCAATTGAACAATTAACAATCAAAAATCTCCAATTTTGAACAAAATTCGTTACAAAAAATAATGCAAATATGATCAAAAATGAAAACTAATCTTAAATCGGTTCTAACTTGAAATTCGGATAAGCTGATCATTAACAAGAAGCTAAAATTTGATAAACACTTTTGTTCAGCTAGAATTAAATTTACATCCTCATGTATTTCATATCATGTATCTCATTAAATAACAATTAAAGGTTAAGGATGAAAATATAACAGTTGATTAAATATAATGGGCACCTCCTGTTTCTGTATGACAATTTAACACTAAAATAAAAGCTTTTAGTTATCAAGACACGTTGGCAAGTATTGATCAGTTTTTTCATTTGGTGACGAAGATTAAACTCAACAATGATCCATATTGAACTTGTGATCGTTTTAATTGTAGCAATTACTTCAAGTGTCCAGCCGATTAGTCAAATGTGTGGTAATAGTACACAAAATGTAGAAGACGCTTTTCGTAACGGAGAGATATTTAAGGACCTGAATTTAAGTCCACCCAGTGATGGAATGGGCTTTATAACGGTAACTTACGGAAAGAAACAAGTTTCTTGTGGAACATTGTTATCCGTTACAGACGCTTTTCTCCCTCCTACCATAAGTTATGTTGCCGAGTCGAGTAACAACTACACGGTTATTATGCTTGAAGTCGATTTTCCAACACGAACTTCACCAGTAGGTCGATCATACATTCACTGGATGATGTTGAATGTTCATGGCAGTGATATTGATTCAGGAAATGTGGCATCTTTTTATGAGCCCCCTGGGTATTTATCGATTGCTGAGCCTCATCGATACGCTTTTTTGGTCTATAAACAGTCCAACGGTTTAATGGAACCTCGCCCTCAAAATATAATCCGAGCCAAGTTTAATGTGCGCGAATATGCCCATGATCATGGCTTAAACAGTCCAGTTGCTGGTAATTATTTCTTTATTGAAACAGTCTCGACGAATCCAGCAAAAGTCACAATATAACTTCAATGATTATGAATAATTAAACTAAATTTTGATCTTATTGTTAATTGTTATAAATCTGTTCGAAAGCTGTTTAAATTAACTACAGTAATATACCCACTTGAGTTGTACTATTTTATTTTAAGCTTTGACAGCGACCTTAGGGGAGGCTCGATGAATTTGAATTCATCGTTTCCGGTACATTACAAGGGATGAGGAAAAGGGATAGGGGCAAGGATAAATAGAAAAAGAAAAACAATAACAAAATTTCTCCCCTGAGGTTGAATATAATGATAGAATAAGATTTAGTCACAGTAGACAAAAGTCCATTTAATCCTAATGGACAAAAGTCCAAAACAAATCCCAAATAGAAATTTCCAAATTAGACTGATTGAGCGGTTAGTTTGATTTTCCGAAGGTCCAAAAATGGTTAGCTCATTATGTATGACAAAAGAAAATAAAAATAAATTAGAATTTCAATCTATTCAAAGAATGAGAGATAGAGAAAAGAAATTTTTCTCGTATTATCAACAAAACTTACCAAGAAACAAAAATAATTGAAGTTATTACGACGCAATAAAAGTATCAGTTTTAGTAGTAAAAAACTATCGTAAATGTTGAACTTTCTTAATTTTGGTATCAACTTGATCCTTGTGATAAGATGAACAATATTATCACAAAATTCACAGGTAAAGTTTATTTAATTAAAGTTTATTAGGAGTGATAAAAATTGTGTATCCACTTGAGTTGTTTTTTTGACATAAGGCGACATCTCTCGTAACTGAAATTAACGCTTTTCATTTGATGTTAATCACCATATTACCTCATGGTGATTACACTTATAAATAGTGATAAATTGAATATTCTAACTGAGTTAGATTCTAATCGACAACAAGAACTTGCCAATAAGAATAATGTTACTCATCAAGCGATCTCAAATATAAAAAAGAAAAGAGTGTAACCAGTCAATGATAAAAAGTGAAAATGTAGCTCATCGTTCACGTTGTCCATAAAGTGACCTTTACTCTCTATTATAGACTCTTTAGTGTTTCAATTCATTCAATTATTACAAGATGGAAATTTACCTGTTGATGATAAGCTTATACAATAGATAATTAGACATATGCAAAGGTGAAAGGCATAGGTTAAGTTGATTGAGATAACTTCATCTAACAAATCGCCTTTTGACTATGAAATGTGTTTTTTTAGTTCCGAACGGATTAAATTAAATGACAACAAAGATAATGATATAGATGGTGTGGACAACTAGCGATTCAAAGGTTGGATTAAGGTTAAATGTTACATAAGAATCTTTTGGATTCCAATTTAAACCATTTTTCATTTAAGATAAAACACTGAAAAGTTACTGAATGGGTTGATGAATGAGCTCTGGTCACTATTAATTGATAAATATTTTATTCTAAATTGTGAATTCAAATAATCGACACCAACATAATTCAAATAAATATTAGTTTTGTTAAAATTCATTCATTTCCATTAACTAAAACCCAAGTCCATACAGTCCTTGTATAATCAGAGTCATAAAATTTTGATATTCAAAAGCGATCAACAGTCACTCTTGTTGATTGCCAGAAATACAAAAGAAAGTATGAGTTCGATATCATAAAGTGATGAACTAACTAAGAAGACTTTTGTCACTTGGAATAGCCTCATAAAGAAAGTTACCAGCGATAGGACCTATTAGTCCATTTTATGGCCCAAGGAGTGACAGCGAATAGATTTCTGATGATCTCTTCTGGTTCAATTTTGAGGTATCTTGATTGACGATAGACCATGAAATCATATCGATAGGGACCTTGAAATGCTATTGGAGTTGGACTCAGATAAGATGCAAACGTGGTTCCATTTTTAAGATGATTACCTGGAATGTTAGTTATCAGCCAATGTAATATTGATAACTTTGTCGTGGAATTGGTTTCACAGGTCCAATCATTATGAATGAGAATAGACTTTCATCAAATGGACTCGAAGTGATATTGATTTCAACTTCTGGTGGAAATAACGTCTCCTCTATGGTGAAATTGTTGCCACAATCAACTTGCCTGGAATAATGAATTGGAATGAACTTTAACTTATCACTTTGTTGAGTTTTATCCAAATCCAAATCTTTGAATATGTTATTTGTCTTGAATGATTCTTCAACTGATATATTTAGATGAGGACATGAATAACCATCTGAATATCCATTAACATAATTAAGAAAGAAAATGAATGACGAAACAAGTGAATTAAACATTATTTCTCGATTAAAGTTCACAAAACTAATGTAAAGATTTGAATGCGAACGATTCAAAGTCAAACTCGCAATTACTAAGAAAATAATTTTATCTCTCTAATTCACTAATTAATTCCGCATATGAGATACAATAGTGAACGCCTATGAACAATGTAACATTATAAATGTTACCAAAATTGATTAGGAATTTGTTTAATTAAATTGTTTAATCGTTATACTTAATTCAAGGTAAGCCCTTTTGAGCATGGGAATTGAATCAGCTGAGGATAAGGGTAAGAATCTGTCTTCCTGGATCAGGAATTATTGATTTTTGATCATGTGAAAGTAATTTAATAATTGCTACATATAACAAGTACGTTGCTCAAATATACTGCAGTAGCAACAATTAAGTGAATTTGAGATATTGTGTTGAGTTTATTTCAATATCATGATAGCTTTTTAACTCATTTTTAATCATAATTGGCACAATTGCTACAAAAGTTAAAAAATTAATTGTTCGCATCAAAAAATCAAAAATAGTTAAGATACAAATTTGATTAATTGCTTGTAGCTGTGATTGGCCTGAAGGATGATTAGTATTGAATTATTTAATATTATTACATTTAGAAAAAGTAATTAAGTATTATAATAAAAATATTGATATTGTACAGAAAATATTTATATTAATAATTAATCCTGTCCAATCTTTGGCAATGATGAGAGATTAATATTACAGATGAGATTACGAAATTACAAAATTATCAACTAATCATCAAAGGATCAATGGTAAGTAATTAATTCAATCAAGACTTAATCACAATATGTCAAACAATTAAGATATGAATATGACTTAGAAAAGGTTAACAATATTAACTATAGAAAAGTTAATTGCTTATTATTAACAATTAGTTGATGATGATGATCCACATCCAATTGATTGATGATGATGATGATGATGATGATGATGGTCAAGATGATGGAGTATTTTTCATTTACGTTCAAATATTAATTATGATACTAAATCAAGAAATTTACAGTTTTACAATTCAGTAGTTTCTAAATTAATTATGCTTAAATTGTTGCCACCGATTTGATTGGAGTGGTATTGAGATGTGTCCGAATACGGTGACGAAATATAAACGGTATTGATTGAGTTCTTGCAAGACAAATGATTCCCGTTCCGTTTGCCCCCGCCGATTGATCCATTGCCTCCATTCATACCTACACCTCCTCCTCGTCCTATTGAATTGACATGGCCATTAGATGAGACAACAACGGAGCCATTGAGACAATTTTTACCCATCGGTTGACCAGCACTTCGTTGATTTGAATTTTTCTTGTTATTATTATTTATCCTTCCCGATGCTGCCGAGGGAAGTGTTATATTTTGTGGTGTTAATCGACCCGCTGTTACACCCCGACAAAGGGCTGACTTATCGTTGGTCGATGATTCTGATCCAGTTCCAGGGTGTGATTCATTCAATGAATCAGTTGGTGTTAAAGGTCCGTTCATGTGAACACCATTAGCTGAAAGACCATCACCAGTACCACCGATTCCCGATCCTTCAGAAACAGCGTTTTCATCAAGAGAGTTACCACCATTTGAATTGTGACTAAAGCAAAACAATCAATTAATTTCAGTTAAAATCTTCAATTGCAAACACAATTACGAGCTAAATTCAATCAATAACATAACAATCAAACACCCTGATGAATAATTTAAATACTAATTGAACTAAAAGTTTACCAATACAATACAATACATGGAAAACTAAAATATAAAATTAGTGCTGAAGTTAAAGGAAACTTTTCCCTTGATCATGAATCTAAATCATCAACAATTATCAGGCATCTTCATGATAAATAATCAAGGAGAAGAGTAAAGAAATTGTAATCGTGAAAATGATTAACCCAGTAAATGAGAAATTAATAATCAATTTAGATTGAGAGAGAAGAGAGAAAAAAAATTGATACAAAAAACAAAGTTAACGAAAAGAAAAGGTATCATCATGATTGGTAATGATTACGATTATTATGATTACTTTCTGATGAATGATTGTAATTTAATTGTGATTATTATGATTACTATTATTTACCTCATTTGTTCATCATCTTTGAACCATTCATTATCATAACCTGTCATCCAAATTGGATTGGAACCTTCGTCTGCATGAATATTCGTGTTTGGAACATTAGTCCGATTCAATTGTGGATCTCGATGGCCAAATGCCGTTGTAGTTGCTGCTTTCAATCGTCTCTCGTACCTGATTGATTATCGGTAATCAAGGGAAATGTTTCAAGGATTAGAAAAAAAGTTAATTCTAAACAAACAAATTGTTCAAACAATTAATTGATTGTAAATATTTTTCTCTTTTACCTATTCCGTTGATTGATACACAAACAGGTAACCAGCATCAACAGAAGTAATAAAAACGCCGTTGAACTAATTAAACAAGCTTTTAATTGATCATCAAATGTTAGCACTTCTTCACGATTCTGTGAGGGCTGTAAATAGAAAAATAATTAACACATACAATTAGTTAATTGTCAATCAGTAAAATGGTTTTCTTTTTAGCTTTAGTTAATTTTATTACTACAACTGTATTTAAATATTAATAGTAACCCAACAATCAATGGTCAGTAATTTGCAAATTGTTCAGTAAATGGACAAGCAAATGTTAAATTATCAAAATTGAAACAATTTGACTTTGATTGATTGTTAATTGTGCTGATTGTGTGATATTTTTACAATTATATTGGTTAAAAGTGTATTGATTATACTTTTAAATAATTTAACCTTAATTAACTGATTACTGTTGTTATTGTTTAGTTTTTTTCAAAACTCAGGTAAAAGTTTTTTGTTGCCTGATCGGTAACAATTAACAACATGAAACAATTAAGTTAATTACTTACCTCACTAACTAAAACATTGAAATCTTTATACAATTGATCAAGATAATCAATGTTTTTATCAATTAATTTCAATACATTGTTCACATCCATGATTGAATTATCATTGGGATCAACAAAATGAAGGTAAAGGTCAGTTCTGTGGATAGAGCAATTAAAGCAATTAGTTAATCATCCAAAGTCAACAATTAAAAGAAATGACTTACTTTAATTTATCAACGATTCCATCACCATTTGAGTGAAATTTGTAATTGTCAACATTGACGATTGCTCCAGTTATATTACTTAGAACACTGTAAATATAAGTAACAATCGCAAGAGAAAAATCAAATTAAGATTTTCAAATGATAATCTGATCATAATTAAATCGTATTGACCTCGAGAGGAAAAAGTTAATCAGTTGTAAATCATAGTAATTAAAGTTTTCCAAAAAAATGAAACATCTTCACACTCATCTTCATAATCTTCATTTTCATCATGTTGACTCGCCTTTCTTACCAATACCACACCTAGCGTATGAATTATGATTATTATTTAATCGTTATCATGATTATCATCAAGACTATTATGTTAATAGATTGTTAATTATGATTAACAATCAATATCATCTTCTTATATTATATTAGTTTTGAGTTTCTTTCCTCATTCAATATTCATTACATTTCTTTTGTTTTGATCATCTCATATTTGTGAATGAAAAGATAGATGAACTTAGATCGAAACAATTGAAAAGTTTTTCTTCACAACTTTGATTAACTTTTGAATACGATTATTAGATTAATTGAGAACAATTGTTTCGCAATTAATTTAATGACACTTACTCTCTGAACTTTTCCAATCTTTCCCTTAACTCGGATGGTGTTAATCGTAACACGAAACGAACCCTTTGATCCTCACGTAATAAGTAAATCTAAATAGTTGTGGAAAATAAAATGCAACAATTAGTTAATTAGATTTTCGTTTTGTTCTTTTTGCTCTTAATTACTGAATAAGTAAATTTCTAAAGTAATTAGACTTACCTTCACTTTCGCTGTATCTGATAATCCCTTGGAGTCATTTGCAGTCACTTGGAATTCAAAGTAACCTTTCATATCTTTTCTCGGATCAAAATTTAATCCAATCTCGCCGGTTTTACGATTAATTAAGAAGGGATCATCTTTAATTGTTTCTAATCCAATTGATAATTTGCGTCTTTGGGGACCAGAGATGTAATAATAGACAACAGCATTGGCCCCATCGTCAGAATCAACAGCCTTAAGACAATTAAACAGAAAGGAAGCAGTTAATTAAACAATCGAGACTTAATTAGTCAAACAAATCGATTGGTGGTTAATTATTAATCTTTATTTACCTTAACAGACATGAAAATTGTACCAAAATCGGCTTCAGTTGTAACTCCTCCGGTGAAAATGGGCTTCACGAATTTAGGTGGATTATCATTAACATCCTTAATTGTTATCGTCACTTGAATTAATGAATTATCTCTAGGATCAAATTTATCAATCTTCTTTGGCTCCTTTAGACAATCATTAGTTGCTTGAACAATTAAGGAATAAGTTGATTTAGTTTCTCGATCCAATGGTCGAGTAACAGTTAACTGGTGGGTTAGAATGTCCAGTTTGAAGATGCCATCATCATTACCTCCTGAAAATGGATAGAAACATCAAAGAAACAATTAGAAAACAGATTAATTAACAATCAATCTATCACGAGGAAACAATTAAACCTGAATCAATAAAATACAAAGCGCCAATTTGATTAATCTTGATCATTGGACTAACTGTTGCAATAACAGGATTACAATATCAATTTTATTTTCCAGATAGTTATAACTATTCAATGAGATTACCAAGTTTAATCAAAATTCATGATAATCAATATAAAACAAATCATGATTTCAATTCATCCAGTATCCATCTACCTGTTGGATTGTATTACAATTTATCATATTAACCCCTTTAATTTATTAATCATGAAAACTTGATCCTAATTATTATGGTGATGAGGCTGATAAATTAAATGGTAATAAACAAACAAAGCAGAAAAAGGTTAACCCAACCCAACCTTTGGATCCTTTTGTTTTAATTGTTGGTAAAATAATAATGGTTATAAATTTACCAGGCCAACAACAATTGACTTTTAACCCTGCTCATAGTGAATACTAATAATTTAGCAATCAAATTTGATTGTGATAATTAGTGATTCCTTTTTAAATTGTATGTTACATGTCATGTGTATGAATGCTGCCTGTTGAATTTTAAATTGTTATCAAGATGATTAAATATTGTAAATAAAACAAGAAGAAGCCACTGAATCCATTATGTTAAATGAGTTTTCCAGTTTTCAAGAGATGAACAATTTTTATTGTTAAATCTTAACAACTGGTAATCAATTTGGTAGTTTATTGATTTGTTGATTGTGTAAATAATAGTAATAAATACTTACCAACAATATAATAACAAGGAATTGATTTAACTCCTGGTTCATTGGGATCATCCATCTCATCTTTATCGATTGTTGGTAAAATTTTGAATGATTCAATTCCGGGTAAAGTGTTTTCAGTGAATGAAACATGAAAATTGTCCTCAGTAAATTCTGGTTCATAATCGTCAACATTGGTGATTAAAATGGTTATATCTAAATCAGTTGATAGCGATGTTGGTTCACCAAGATCGTAAGCTTCAACTCGAAGTTCATAGATTCGTTGACGTTCACGGTCCAATGTTTTAATCAAAGTAATTAAACCTGATGAGAGTTAAAAAGAATAAGAATAATTAGTTTAATCATGATTAATTCAATTAATTTCAAACTTTTTAATCAATGATAACCTCAATTGGAAACAACAACAAGCAAAGACAATTAAAAAAACAACAATACCAATCTAATTTAACCGGAAACATGAACTATAACCTTGAGCTAGTGGGAATTTGATTATCATGTTGACAATTAATCAGATTAATTGTTGTTGAAATAGAGATTAAAGAGAAAAGGTTAAAACGTGATGAGTTAATTGTTTGGGCTAAATTGTTAGGATGGTTAACAAGTTGATTTGTCAATCTCTCTCTCTCTCTCTAAAAAAGTTCATGATAAACAAAGTGAGTTGATTATGATTATAATTATCATGAAAATTAGACAAGGTAAGATGATTATGATTTAAATCTAAATCACGTATTGTGAGGGCGTAAACCAAATCAAATAAATTGCGATTACCATTATTATCTTAATAGAGTAACATTATCAACAGATAAAATTAACCAAATACTAAATTATATTCATCATCATGATAATAATTATAATTGTTATGCTAATGGTTGATTAAAATAATAATAATACTTTGGGTTTGCCATTATGAGGATTAGTTTGATTGGAGGAATTAATTTGATATTTTTACCTGATTGCTTATCGATTTTAAATGTTTTCCAATGGCCATTGGGCAATTCTCGCAATTTGTAATTAACTATTGAATTAAGACCATAATCATCATCAGTTGCTTTAATCTCGATCACTGGTGATCCGATTGTTGAATTTTCTGGTAATCTGATTGTATGATTAACCGGTGGATAGATAAAGTTTGGTGATCGATCATTAACATCGCTAATGCAGATCGGTATCGAGGCGATTGAGTAACGCGAAGGTGACCCAGAATCTTCCACTTTGACCTTTAATGAGTAATTACCAACTCGAGCTCGAAGTGAATTAGCACTGATAATTCGTGCCGAAGCTTCTGATATTGGACTGATACCAGGTAGTTGTTGGAGAGGCGATAAAGATGATGAATCGGATGATAATTGTGAAGATCTTGCTGATAATCTTGAGGGTGAAGATCGTAAAGATCGTGCTAAAAGCGGTAATGAGGGATTACCACTAATCTTTACTGGTTCGATATCAAAAAGTCCATTCTCATTACCATCGATTATTGTAAATTTAATCCGACCATTCGGTGTTGATGGATCATCTTTATCTGTTGCCGTGATTAAAGTAATCGTATCTCGAAGAGGTAAAAACTCATTTGTAATTGAACACCCTGAGGGTATTGAGATGAATGGAGTCTCATCGTTTACATCACTTATTGTGATTGTTATTTGTTGAAAAGCTTTTCTTGATTCTCCAGTAACAAAACCATATTCATAATTATCAACTGCTTGGATTAACAGATTATAAGAACTCATTTCTTCACGATCCAGTTTATTGGCCACAATGATTGATCCCTATTCAGTAAAAAAATATCAATAAAAGACCAGATTAGGATTAAGGAGAAATGATGAAAATAATAATAAAAAGTTAATCATGTTTACAATGATTTTCCTGATCAATTTAAGGCAGAACAAAAAAAAAGGATTGACTCTTAATTGTTGTCCACAATTATGATTAGTTTCAATTATCTTTTCCATTTACTGAACCTTAAAATTTACCTTAAGATTATCATGATTATGTTATCAATATGTTATTAATAAAACCTCACAAGTGATGATAATTATATCTAATTACCGACTGTGGGGCTATTTATTACATTAAATGGTTAAAATAATAACGATTAAGATGATTATGATTATGAGAATGATGATAATGATAATGATTATTTGATTACTTGTTCACAGTAATAATAAAATGGGCTAAAGGGATTGGGAGTTTAGCTTAGATTAGAATTGCAATGAAATTTGATTGTAACAATTAACAATCTAATAGAGTTGATAATCTTGATTGTCAATGAGAAAAAGGGGTTTAGACTAAATTACATCGTGATTAACTAACATTTAAATGATAACAATTCATCAGAACTATTTCTTTTTTTAATTTAATCAGGGTCAACTATTACCATCACTATCAGTCCATTCATGATACTTGGCAATTTAATTTGATGAAAATTGACTTTAAATTGATTCACTTGAATTTCATAACTAAATCATAAAGTTTGGTGAGAGATGAAAATAATTTGAATCGTGTTTGTCTTTATTATTATAATACCATAATCACAATCATCATCATCATTAAATCAACATGAGATACACATTAGGAATCATGATCACCGAGAAAACAATTAAAGTTTAGAAATTTCAATTAAAAAGTCAATTTAATTATTTATAGAAAATGAAATTTCAATTTCAATTCCAATTCCTATTTGAATGCTTTCAAAGACTCAGAACTTTTTGAAAAGGGACGAAATTAGTTCAATACGAATTAATTAAATTGTACTCACCGTATCTCTATCGATTTTGAATTTACCATGGGAAGATGAAGCATCCAGGAGATAAGTTACTTTACCATAGAGACCGATATCATCGTCGTGAGCCGTTACTTGGGCCACTAAGGAGCCAAGAGGTGAATCTTCCGATGCCGTGAAGGTCAGTTGATTGTTACCATCGAAAACTGGATTATTGTCGTTCTCATCGAAAACTTGAATCGAAACTTTGGAAACTGTTGATAAAGGAGATGGTCCACCATCGGTCGCTCGAACTGTACAATTTATCCATGAATATGTTTCACGATCAATTTTACCCTTTACCATAATATCCCCTGATCGAGATGAGATATCAATCAAATCAAGCAATTCTTTACGACCTTCCAATGAATAGGTCACCGTTTTATTCAAATCGTAATCATCCGCTTTTACCGTTAGAATTGGTGTTCCAATAGCGGCATTTTCAGTTATGGCTCCGGTAAATAGTTCCTTCAGGAAAACAGGTCGATTATCATTGACATCGGCAATTTTGATCGTTAAGTAAGCTAAAGGTAAATGTAAATAAAAGTTTTTCCAGTTAACTAATTGTAATCAATTTTTTGTTTCAAATTATCATCAATTGAATTGGTCAACATGATGTACATCAAGTGGTCATTGATAAAAATGATTTAGATCAACAAAAGAGTCGATGAACTTGCTAAGTGAATGATGAATTAACAACATGTAAATTAAGTTAATTAACTTGATGATTATGATTGAATAGGAAAAGACTTACCGGAAGCACGTTGACCGGGCGTAACTGCAGCTAAATCTTCAACAATTAAATATAATTTAACTTGATCCCAAGTTTCCCTATCCAATTCCTTATTAACTCTAATTGTTCCGTCTAATGAATTAATTGTGAAACATTCTTTAAACGTATTCCAATCAACTGATGATCCAGCTTGATTACGAGCTTCACTTAACATGTAATCAATTGAATATCGGAGGAGTGGACGATCATCAGCATCTTTACCCGTTACTCGGGTAACAAAAAAACCTATTGGTGCATCTTCTGGAACTGAAACAATTCCTGGTTCAATGAAACTTGGTGGCTTATTATTCACATCAACAACCGTTATATTCACAATGACCTGGGATTGTTTCTGATCTCGGCCAAAGTTACCATCAAGAGCAGTGACAACAAGAGCATAAGTGTTTTGCTTTGGATTGGACCGATCTGGATCCAGATTGGCACCAGCGGCAACTGAAACCAGTCCAGAATCTGGATCAATGACAAATTTATCCTGTGATCCAGAACTGATTCTGTAAAAAACCCTGGAATTTGTTGGTGAATGGTCACCATCAATCGCCTTAACTTGCACCACCATTGAACCATCACGAATATCTTCAGGAATTGACTTTGTGTATGAAGCTCGTTGGAAAATTGGTGAATTATCATTCTTATCGTAAACAATGATGGTCAACTCAGTGTCGCTGAAAAGTGAGGGACTTCCCAGATCAGAAGCACGAATTATAAGTGAAACGTTTTTCGTTTCACCCATCGGCTGTTTGATCAGCTCAAAGTCCAAAGGTTCTTTAACCTTTAATCGACCTGAACGCGAGTCAATAGTGAAATTATCTTTGTAAACACCATCAACGATTAGATAGCGGATCTGTGAGTTTGGTGTTCCCTGTGCATCAGCATCAACCGCACGAATAATCACTGGACTCACAAACGAACCCTCATTTTCGTATATTCGAGCCTCGTATCGGTCCTCCATGAATCGAGGCTTATTATCGTTAACATCCTCGATTGTCAGCAGTATTTGTACAGTGTTTCGATTGCCTGTTCCCTCGTTATCACGAGCCTCCGCTGTGATATAATATTGAGATAAAATCTCACGATCTAGCCCGTGTTCAGAAGTGGCCAATGTGATCGTTCCCGTAACTGGATCGAGTGAAAGCTTCGACGACAATTCACCAGAAAGTTCAGTATATCGAATACCAGAAGTACCATAATTACCCGAGTCAACATCAGTTGCCTGTAATTGAGTGACAACCGTACCTTTAACAGCGTTTTCTGGAATCGATGCTCGATAAAGTTCACGATCAAAATTGGGAAAATTATCATTGGCATCTTTTATATTAACCGTTACGGGAACTGTTGATGATCGAGGTGATTCAGTTGAATAAACTTTTTCTCTTGCGATTAGATTGAATGTCATTGACTTGGTTGTCTCATAATCCAATGAGATCGGATCTTTAACACGAATAACAAAAGTGGCCTCATTGGTCGCCTCACTTGGAGTAACCTCAAAAGCGGATGCAGATTCACCTTCCAAGGTTAATATAAAGGTACCATTGTTACCTTGATCATAATCATATACTTGAGGTATCTCACCAACCCCAATGAATTTAACCGGCATATCTGATTGAGCATTTTCACTTATCTCAACCGTATAAGAATCCGACTTGAAAACGGGTTTCTCATCATTCACATCAGTTAATATAATGGTTACTTCCGTTGAAACAGAGGGAGGCGGAAACACTGCCACCGTTACCTCGGTTGCAGCGATTTCCAATATATAAGCACTATTACCTGACCCACGGCGAATTGACTCTTCCCTATCAAGTGTACCATCTACCGTTACCGCTCCAGTTGAAGGATTAATTGAAAATAAACCTCGACCACCACGAATAATCCGATAAGTGACCGCATTGTTAACACCACGATCACCATCAACAGCGATAACCCGAAGAACCTCCGAACCGGGAGCTAAATTCTCAGGGATTCTGGTCACCGAAGGAACAAAAGTAAATATCGGCGGATTATCTTCAGCATCTTCAACTCGAACCAATAAAGTGGCCGTTGCAGTGTGTCGATCACCTTCAATCGCTCGATCCTAAACCAATCAATAAACAGTAAATAAAATTTAATTTGAAATCAAAAAGGTGGAAATTATAATTTGCGTGCTAATTGACTATGTTAAATTATCAACTTATCGATTTACAAGTTTAACAATTAGATTGAGTGTGAAATTTAATACAATATAAGTAACACTTGATTGGCAGATCAGATTCACCGGTAAGATATAATTTATTTAAATGTATCAAATTTAGCTCTTTTATTACATATCATTTGCAACGTTATTATCATTTGTTGCCGTTTTCAGGTCATTATTATCATCGCTATCATCATCGTCAATACTTGACGATAATAATTATATTTAACAAGTAACAATTACCAATAGAATTGAAAGAGAGAGAGAGAAACAAAAAATTGTGTTAAATAATTTGAGGTCACTTTATGTTTCCAGCTCAACTAAAGGTGTGGTCATTGGTGTTAAAGTGAATCAAATGAAACTGACCAATGTTAATAGTGAATTTTATTAACTGTTGATGATCTTCAACCGTTTCATCCAGAATAATAATATTACTTTTCACATTGAATTTTATCCTTCATCGTTTTTTTTATCATTTTTTGCTCTCTCTCTCTCTCTCTCTCTCTCTCTCTCTCTCTCTCTCTCTCAGTTCATTTTCATCCTCATCTTCATCACCATCAACAATATAAAATCAGAAATGGATGAACAAAAAAAGAAGCATCAAATTAACCAAACCTTATATTCATTTTTAGGAGAAACTGTTGAATTGGATTAAAAATGGTGAATTAAAAAAGCAGCGAGAAGATGAAGAAAAATAAATGATGAGGAAAGATGAAAAAGAAAGAGAAAATGAAAGATGGTGATGATGATGAGAGGAAGAAGATGAAAACAATGAACATTTAAGTGTGGGTCAAACTTGGCCCACTAAAAGGCTTCACAATCAAGTGAAGAATAAAAAAACTCTAATTGTAACCATTACAATCATTTTATTACTTCAATCAGGTTAAATGGTCTTCTCATCATCCTCATCCTCATCTTCATCTTCATCCTCATCTTTCATTTCTTATATTATTTTTCTCTATTCTCCTGATCATCTAGAACTTACTTATCTTCATAATTATCATCATTAGTTTTCATTTCATTTTAACAATTTCATCTCATCTTGATTTACATTTCTTTGATTCTTTGGGTCATCATGATTAGTTTAATGATGTTTAATCATAAAATTGTTTCGCGGTAGTGATTATGTTAATTTGGTTGACAAAAATCAAGATTGACCATTTATCTTAATTGCATATGATTAACTTTCCAATTCAAATGAATAAACTGATACTTAACAATCAAATCTAAATTATTATGTATGATAATTGTTAACTAATTTACAGCTTCATCATGATGATGACCCTTTGTATCTTATTGACAATTTGACAGTTAATTGTGATTGCTGAACAATTAATTTACCTCTTTTTTTTTCCTGACAATTGTTTCACAATTTACATGAAAGGTAAACAACGAGGTAAATAGTTCAGACTGACCATTTCCGGCTATTCAACTTCCCTTTCATCATAATCTTTGAAAAAAAACTCAATCAAATTAATAAAAATCCTAAGATAAAGTCATATGATAAACTTTTTGATTACTTTAATTTCAACTGATATAATTGTTAATTTAAAATCAATATTAACCAATTGGTCAAGAGAAAGATGAAACCGGAAACAATCAACCAATGAAACCATAATGTTAACTCATCATCCCAACAACAACAAGTAACTAATCAATAATCAAATCAATCGCCAGTTCACAATTACCTTAATTGGTTATTCAAAAAACCTTAATCATAATCTATTGATAACATTATCGGATTCAATGTTTTCCTTTCAACTATCACTATCATGTAATGTATATTTCAAGCAATCATGATAATGAATTCATGATAACCTTAAAATAAGATGATGATCAATATGATTGTAATCAAAATACTCACCAATAGTTAAAGAAAACAACAACAACAACAATCAAATAATTTTCCACTTTGATTATAATGTTTTATTCATGATCATGATACGATAACTACAATTAACTTTTTTTTTCTTCTACTTTTTTTTCATATCTTTTACTGTCTAATAATTGCAATGAATCAAGTTACTTGTATCTGTTTACCTGATTAGATGATAATTGTTGATTGTTAAGAGTAACATCCAATAATTGAATGAATCAAATTTTGTTCAGATTCCCGTCAGAATCTTCATGATAATTAGATAAACTATCAACAATAATGTTATAATAACAGTAAGAGGTTAGTTGGATTATATTTTTAGGACAGGAAAAAGTATTTACTCATTATTATTATATTGATTGTTCATCTTCATCCTCATCTTATTTTTTTTTTAAAGAAAAATTCATCTCAAATTTTTGCTATATTTACTTTCTTAACTACACACCAAATGAATTGGTTAAATTAGCAACAATTTAATCAAGATACAATTAAAGATCACAGTTGATTACTTTTACCTTGTTCATCTCTACAGAATCTTAATCATCATGGGAATTATCAATTGATTATTGAATAACCTTAACAACAACATCAACCAGAATTCATGTGAGAGTCAATGATTGTAACCATTTTAAAATCAATTGGCTGGTTGATTGTTTGATTGATTGATTGTCTTTCAGGTCAAGAAAATTATTCTCACCTTTATCATTCTCAATGTTTACCTTAATCCTCCCACGAGCTCATCTTCATCCATGACTGGATTAGATATCGATTCTTAATCTATTAACAATATTTGATTCAATTCAAAGATTACATCATGTTGATTGAAATGAAGAAGATACGAAAAAAAAAAGTTCTGATCTACTTTGAAATGTTATATTAATTTAAGCTTTGAAAATAATTAATTGTTATTAAAGGTCAATCGGTATAATTAGACGTGATTAAAGGTTAATCATTACTGTTGTTGTTGTTGTTTATTGTTGTTACTGATCAATGTTGATTGTTTTTCCTTCAATTTAATTGTTTGATAAAATCTGTTAATTGTAATTAATGATGATGAAAAAAAAACACCAACAACAATAAGACACTCACATAATAATAATAATAATATAAACAATTTACACTTTCAATTGATGGTCAACAATTAACCAAATCAAGCAACATTTTAAACAATTACAATTCAACCTTGGCTTATTGGCAACTTTCAATTGTAAATTAATTTCAATGAATTTCTCGCTCATCATCATCATCACTCTCTCATTATCTTAACAATTAGATTTTAATTAATCCATGATAATCAACAAAAACAACAACAGAATCAACGATAAAACCTGATTAAAGAGTTGATTGTTGACTCTAATGATGATGAGGATACTTTTGTTAATTATCATGCAAAAGTAAATTGTTATTTATTGTAATCCATGATGATGATGATGATGGAAATGAAAGAGAAACAAAATGATGATAAAGGAATGGGAGAGTTGAAGAGATGAGGATGAAAAGTATATTGTTTATTTTAGATGAAGATGAAGGTAAAATAATAGATGTTGATCCATATTATGTATATGTTATATTGAGATATATCCAAGAAACAATTGGATTTAAACAACAACAATTAAGGAGATTGAGTTTTGACCTCATTGGATTAACGTTGATCAAACACTTAAAGGTATTTGTGAGTATAATTTTTTTCTTCTTCTTACCTCTCAGTCAACAATTAACTGGTTAAATTGTTGCTGTTAAGGTTGATCATCATTAAATTTATAATAATAAATAAATGAATGAATGAATTGCCTTTCCTTTTCTTTGTTGTTAATCTGTTGAATTAACTGTTAACAATTTAGTGGGCGAATCGTTGTTTACCTTTAATGTGTTACTATTATTATATTATGGATATCAATTTGATTTCTTAACCTAATCAACATTGTAACGGTAACAATTACGAGTTAAATTAAAGCGCGATACAATTTTCAAGATGATTTAGTTAATTGTTACTTACGATTGCTAAGATCTTCAATTGATATAATGATCGTCTCTCATAATCTAAATCACCAACCAAACTAATCACTCCTTTACCTTCAACGGTTTCAATTGAAAATGTCTTTGGTCCATTGTCCTTGTCGATTTCCTGAAGAAAAATATTGGATAACAATTAGTTGATTTAGTTAATTTGTGTGTAAAAATTATGAAAAATTAAGTTGATTGTTAAAAGAATCAAACAAAATTGTAGTAAAAAACAAAAAATTAACATCAATTGTAAATTAGATTAGTTTAGTATCCAAAAATTTTGCCAGAAAATAAGACAATTGATTGTAATTAAATTTCTTGACTAAATTAATGGTTTTAAACCTTAATTGTTACCATTTTTCAGTTGACTGATCAAGATGATGATCAATCTAGAGATGAACAATTTATCCTCGATTTTTTTTCTCTACTATTCATGTGTATGTGAAAAGAACCACAATTTAAGTTGAATATTTAAAAAATCGGAAAGAAAAGAAGAAAAAAAGTTTCTCCTTTGCGTTCCAACGAAATCGTTAAAAACTTTTGCGCTCCAATGTTTTTTTCTTATTCTGGTTAGAAAACCATCAAATTCTTGGCACTCACCCAACCTATTATCATGATAATTATCATTATCATCAAGTTATTATATTATAGTTGTAACTTGGATAATAATAATAACAATCATAATAGAAAAATGCAATGGAATTGATATTATCCTTATTATTACCTTTGCGATTTGAAGCAACAATGAATTCAAAGGTAACAGCAAACATAAAAAATACTCAACGAATTGGATTAACCTAAGAATTAAATTGTTGGCTCAACGAAAGTAATAAAAAAAACACCAAACTCTAAATTATAATAATGATTAACTTTAAATATCGTTAATGATAAATGATGATGATGGAAACAATTTTCACATCATTTAACAAATGATTGCTGATAGAGAAGAAGAGTAAATTATCATTAGTTAATCATAAATAATAAGATAAATAAAGTTATGATTAACTTTGATATTGATAATGATTAATTGACACGCTTTGGTATTGGTGATTAGTATTAAATTATTATCAACAACAACAACAACTATGTGACATTAGCAATTTAAATTGTTCACTTTCCAAAAGTTAATTGGTAACGAAAAGTATTCCTAATGGTTTTAACAGTGATACAAATATTAATTGCTGTTTAAAAATCAACTGATTGTTACAGTTAGAAGAAAATAATTTAATCAGTTTTAATGATTGAAGAGAAACAAGAAAAACAAAATGGAAATTAAAATCTCCATAGACTTAGATTATCCGATAACCGTTAAAATCCAATTGACCTTTAAATAGAAAACAGTATGTTGACCTCTACCCCCGAAACTACCTGGTGACCTCAATAAATAACGTTGGATACCACAGATAAATGGTGTAACTGGGACGATGATACATAACTGACCCTCCCACTGATACCTTTATCTTTTCTCACTGGACATCAACATCTCTTCACAACCTCTCACCTTTTCACCTTAGACATGTACTACACACAAAGCACAGAAACGATAAGAGTAATAACTATAATAATATAAATCGCCACAAGGAAAAAAAAGGTCATTGGTCAGTTTCTTGGTTTTAACATCTTTGTGGTTCCTTTTGCTTATTTTATGAGTTTTCCAATTCATGGGAATTAGTAAATTTTCAAAGGTCAACCTATTGGTCAAGATGAAAGTTACATTTATCTTCTCAATCCTTAACCTAAATTTAATCACATCAATCTTATTGTTGTTAATATATTGTTTCATGTTTTCTCTCTCTCTCAAATCAATCAATTATTATTATCCAAAGTTAATCAATCAATTTCAATTGGTTTCAATTCAATATACTTCTAAGTCCAGTAATAAATAATGACCAGTAAATTTATTAGCTAATTTATTTATACCTCATATTGGTCAATATATATAAATGTGAATATGTGAGATGATGTTTATTAATTAATTGTTGTAATTAAGAGATGATCAAAATTTAACCCTTAAAATAAGGTTAAAGGTGCGGAAGTTGTTTATTAATATCATATAATGTGGTTTACTATTAATCATTAACAATCAAATTTAATCATCATCTGTGAGGGCGTATTAATATATATATATTGAGCCACGAATTGATATTAATAACAATCAAATTTAGTTATTAATTATTATGTACATAATATTATCATGTTGCTTCAAGAAGATGTGGATATTTAAATTGTTGATCATTTACATGTAAACAAATCATAATCAATCCCTTGACAATTAACTCCATTCATCATTGTATTGTGTGTGTGTGTATGTGGGAGTTAATTGTAATCATAAATATTTTATATTTTTTTTGATTTGATCAAAAAAAATAAATAAATTTTTCAATCTGATTATCAATTTAATCCTTATCATTAAAGGATTTGTTGTAATAATATTATTATTCAATTTAATTGTTGTTACAAGTTGAAAAGTATTAGCAACAATTTACTGTATCATTGATAATAGTAATCAACTGATTAAGATGATTATATGGTAATGATAATGTTTTTTAATTTAATAAATAATGATAACAATTAAATTGATTTGTTATTTTAACAAGATCAGGAAGTGATTAGTTAAATTGTTTTCTTATTGTTTGATTATTATGAATATTAGTTTTGGTTACTAATCGAAATGTAAATATTATCATACATTTACCATAATGTTCAGACAATTAAGTTAATTGTTGTACTTAATTCATATTGAATGAACTAGATTTTTGATCAAATCTCATGTTGAGAGATTATAATCAATTTAATCGTAACATTTATCCTCAAAATCTTTGATTGTTTCTCATAAGAATCACAATTTTCACAAGGTAAATATGATTATCCTTTAAAAGATTATGATGAGGATAAAAAAGTATCAAGAAAAAAAAGTCTTGTCACATTTGAAACAGAACAACAGTAAAAAAAGTGAATAACAAGAACTTAATTAAATAATTATGTAAAATTTTCTTAAATTAGAATGATAATAATACAAATTATTAAGATAATCTTGATTAAATTATATTCCTCATCATGTTTACCATTATCATTGATAATTAGCTGATTCTTTTCAAAGTTAAATACACGAGACTTGATAATTTACCTTGATTAGGATTATAACTGTGGTGTGAGAATTCAAAGTTCATTATCATGTAACTACTTCAATCATTATCTTCTTTAGGTTACCCCAATGTCAACCACACAAAGACAGGGAGAGAAAGCGAGGGAGGAGGATGAGGAGGCGGTGGTGGTGGTGGTAGTGGTGGGAATATGCCAGTTTCTGGTTAAGAAAATTCAACTTTCAAAAAATAGTGAAAAATGTTATCCTCATGGTGGAAACTTTTCCCTCTCCTTTTACCTTTGATTTTAAAGAGCAATTAACTTTAATCATCATGATTATACATGATGATGATGATGATGATGATTCTGTACTCAGAATAATAATCACAGTTTTAATTGTTCAAATAAATGAAACTTATGTGTAGGTGGATTGAATTTCTAATTTCACCATTGTTATTAGTATCTTTATTTACTATCTACCTGTTGAGTTTAAATAACGATCATTATCAATGATAAATCTAGAAGTTTTTGTCTTCTAAACAAATTGACAGAACTGGATTAACTGATTATCTCTGATAATGGATTATTATTAAGGCGTTCAAGTTTTAATTCTCATGGGAACTCATGTTTCTTTATGAGCCTCTTAACTTTTACCGATCATTTTTATATAAAAGCAACAAGGAGATGAATTATTCTGATATCAACAGGTAATTATCTTTGTTGGTTTAATCATCTTCTCTTATTGTTGAATCTATGAAACTTTCTCAGATACTTGAGATTAGATCAATTTGGACAATTGGTTTTAGTTTGTGCCATCGGTCACCTAATGACCGACACACCAAGTATCCTTTTCTGAAATTATCTCCCACTCTCTCATATCATTCATATTTCTCAGTTATTATTAGCTAATTTGTCCTAAATGAAACAACTGAATCATGATGAAAATGGTAATGATTTTTTTCAGATGAGGACAAAAACAACAACAACTTGACCAATATAAAAGTAGACAGAATCTGATTCAGTGTATTTTCAGGGTGAGAATTGTAAATTGGATGCAAATTATGATAATGAGAGAGACAAAGGTGATGATAATGATGATGATGCAGAAAAAAACAGTGTTGGTCATCATCATAATTATAATATTCGTGTCAATAGACTGGACGTTGAAGCGCAGAAAAACTTGACCAACGCTGATTTTTTTTGAGTTTTGATGTTAATTGTTTGTTTTTTTTTTGACAGTTGTTGGATTTAATTGAAAGTTAATTATATTTACCTGAAGCTGATACAATACTTGACCAAATCGTCCTTCATCTTGGTCAAATGCTTCAACTGTTTCAACTATTCCAGGTCGAGTTTTCTCAGATAAACTGACCGTTGTCCGAAAAGGCCTGAAGACTGGTTCATTATCGTTAATATCCTCGACAATGATTAACATAGATTTAGTTATCTGTTGATTAAATTAATTAATAGTAAATTAGTATCTAAATGTGAGAAATTAATTCATTTTTTGCTCATTAATAGTAATTAAAAAAAGTTCATAAACACTTATTAGAATGAGATATGAATATAAGCCGAAAACAATAGGATAAAAATTGGCAATTAGGTTAATCAACAATTAAATTAAAGTGAGAGAAATGGTCAATGATTAAGTTTTGCAATTTATTCATAAATCACCAACAATTAACTGAAACGATTTTACGTTTAATCAAAGGTAACATTTATTGTAAGTATTGAGTTGATTGTATTTTAATTGTAACTGTTTTTTTTTCAACAATTTACCTTGAAAGTGATTAAGATTAATCAGTTTTTGTGATAATGAGAAAGATAAAAAAAATCAAATGATGAGTTGGTTTGATTTAGATTAAAATTGATTACTTTTGATTTAATTTTGGGTTTCAAACAATAATATGAAAAAAAAGTTAATTTTCTCATTATTAACAATCATGATTAAAATTTAACATGATGATTATTATTATCAATTACTGATTACCCAACCTTAATTTGTTAATAATGATGAAAAGGAGGTTAACAATTAATCATAAAACAATTGAAATCCAAACTTAAACCAACAATCAACTAACAATAACAAATATCATCTAATTCAAGAGCAAACTAAATCAATTAGCAATTAAATTGCTTAATCAACCTGAAAAAATAAGTTATCATTTTTAAGGTATTTTCATTGGAAACAATCAAACTAATTAGTTGATTCAGTTAGATGATAAAACTATTAAGTTTAATCAACAAATTGAATTGTTAGAAAAAAAGATAAACTCAAATTCTGATGAAATGAATAAAAAACTCAGCAGAAATCGTCATGAAATGAATCAGAAAATTTTCAAGAATCTGATTTATATATTTGATTGGAATAATTTTCATGATAACTTTCAGATGACGATAATGATGAAATGGATGATAAAGATGATGATGGATGAGCGTATGATGTTCCTGGCCTAGAATCATGAAATAAAAAATGAAGAGACTCTGAGAATGAATGAGAAAAAGTTCATCAAAAAATCAGAATGAAAGAAATACAAAAAAAAATAGTAACCATGATAATGGTAATGATTGTGTTCAACTGAATAGGAATCCATGTTTTCAGTTTGATGGATCTTGAAGATGATCAACATGATGATAAGTTTACTATTTCAAAAGACAAAGTGACTTCATTGATTGATACTTTTTCATCATCATCACAATTATTATCATGGTTAAGGTAACCAGGCTTGACTTGATCATCATCATCATCATCTTCATCATCAGAAGCAACTATTTAAACATTGGATTCAATATTTTCCAGGTCATTTCATGGAAACCTCATCCAATCCTCTTCTTCATCCTCCTCCATCATCAATGAGTCACTTTGATGATCATGATAAATGTGATGAAATATCCGCAGGTAAGATTCACACCTAATTCAGAAATTCATTTTCTTTTTTTCATCAATCTCTTTTATTCAGATTCATTATTATGAAAAAGGATAAAAAGTAACAGGTACTTTTCATCATCATCATCATCATCTCTCTCTCTCTTCCTACTTCTCACTTTTTCATCATTTCATCTTCCTCACAACCAACAATCAATTTACAATCAAATTTAATTCAGTTAAAAAAACTTTTTTCCAACATTTTCAACATTATTATTCAACCTTAAATATATTTAGTTACTCAATTTAGGTTTTAATTAAATTGTAACAACTATTTAAACAAATTGCCAACAATCCTTAATAACAAGTTGTAACAATTAGTTAATCAGAAAGGATTTAATTACCTGCTTTCAATTCAAAATTTATTGTCAATGTTAACATTGGAAAGTATATAAATTTCAACAATCATTAAATTGTAAATTGATTTGATTACTTGTTGAGAGTAATTTTTAATACATGATTAGTATTTACAGTTAGATTTAATTGTTACCTATCCTCTTTGTTAACTTGTCACAATTAATATTTAATTAACTTACTATGAGAATTAGATTTTATTGTTTTTCTCATCTTCACCAGCAATTAACAATTAGCACAGTTTATAATTTACAATTAAATTAAAAGGTTTCTTGGTTTAAATTTAAACTCAATTGAATCAATTTCTGTCAAGTTGATTAACTTAATCATCATCATTTGGTTTAAAATTATTAATATATAATCATCTTGATTAATGAAACAATTAACAAACTCCCATCTATTAATATTAACATCCTAATCTAAATTTTGTTTAATTAAATTGAAACATTTAGACTTGATTAATATAATTAATTGTTACCGTTAAGGATACGGAAGATTATTCAAATTGTAAATGTAAATATTAATCCACTAATCAACATTAGTTTAATTGTTGAATGAAACAATTGCTACTACAATATAAGAGTCTATTGAACTTTAAAGTAAATATCAAACAATTAACTAATTGTAAATGTTGTAAACCATTAATAGTATTCAAAAGTTTTGTTACAATTTGATGATGAAAAAATTTCACAATGATAACAATCAACAGGTAAGAAAGGGAATTAATTAATTGGATAAGATTAATAGTATTAAGATAATTTATTAATCCAATAAATTATTCATAATGACAAAGTTAATTAATTACCATTGAAAACAAATATAATCAAACAACAAGATTGTTAATATCACAATGAAATTAAATGATTAGCAATTTGAAAGTAAATAAGAAACAAAGGAAAAGTTTATAATTAGTTTAATTGTTACAAATCGCGAAAAGGTAAATCAAGTTAACATATTCTTGTGATTATTTTTATAAATCACAATTAACTTGATGAGTATAAATGATTAGATGAATAAACAATTTACTTTATCATGATAATGAATTTAAAATGTGTAACATGTTGATTAGGGATGAAAAGCATTTCCAACAATTTAATAATTGTGATTAAGATGATGATGAGAAACGCCTAATACCATAAATAAAGAGGTTCGGTCATCATTTTGATCATTAATTTGAATACACAAACACTTTGATCCACCTTTGATCCAAGCTCATGACACCTTACAGAATATTCAATTATCTTCACAACAATTAAAATTATTCTTCAATTTGGTTAGTTAATTGTTGTTCAGACGATTTGATTGTTATTGTAAACGAACATGATGATCAAATATTATCATGTTCTCGAAGTTTTTTAAAGTTAAACCAAAGTTCTGAAAAGTTTGGAAAAAGTTTTTTTCCCTTTTGCTGATCAAACACTTTGGTCTTATTTTTTTTAATTGTGTTCATTTTTTTGTTGATATTGATTGCGAAGAAATTAATTGAATAATTAACTGTTTCTCCATCAATATTTAATCACGATTTACAAATGATTATTGATATTGTATTAGTGTTCTTATTATGGACCAACAATTAACATGTAAACAGTTACAATTTGAACGTGATTAGATTATCACTAATACTTTAATCATGATTATCACATATTATTATTGGTAATTAACGTTATTGTGGTCGGTAATTCAATTGATTAACGAGTTTGTGTGTTAATCAAATAATCAAATTAACTAACCAAGTAACCCAATAACTTTTACTCAAGTTAAATATTTGTCTTAATCAACTATCAGATCTAAATTTAATGCAAGGATGATTAGTTAATTGTGACTCTTGAATTTGTCTCGATTTATTAAATTAGGTGATTTATTTTTGTCTATTAATTGTTGTAACAATTATCATTATTATCACAGTTAAACTATAAGAAAGAGTTGATTATTGATTTAAATCTCAACAGTAGATAAAATAATTAACTCATTGATTGTTAATCAATTTAGGTTATGTAAATTGTGATATTTTTATCTTTCAAAAAATTAAATTATCTTCCTTATCATTTTAAATCAAAAGACATAATTAACGTAACAATTAACTTGATTAAAAAGTGATTCCTAAATTAAATGGACCATTAAAACAGTAACAATTAACAATTCAAAAGTACAAGTAACTGAAAGAAAAAAATGTTTATCATAATCAACCGGTTGACAATCAGTTAATCAACAACAGTTAATGAACCAGATGAAGATGAACAAAATTTGTAACAATCAACATGATTAAATTGTAATAATTAACATGAAAGTGGAAATGATGATGATCAAGTAATCGTGAAGGTGAAAACAACAACAACTCAATACAAAGTCAACTCAATGTTACCAATGATTTAAGAATCGATTGCAAGTTAATTGTTATGACTATTTGTTTGATTATTTAGTCTACATTTCCGTTAAGATGATAACTCAAACTGACCAATTGATTGAACCTGAAGACCTGATGGTCAAGGTGATGAGAAGGAGGCAAAAAAAAGGTAAAAGTCTCTGGGAAAATGAAGGAAGAGAAAATTTTTTTTTTCGTTTTCTACTTACATAGTTTCCTTTACCTAATTTACCATCTGTCAAGGTAAGAACCAGCGAGTAAGAGTCTCTGGTCTCACGGTCAAGCTCTTTTCTCAGGTAAATCGTGGCCGAAGATGAAGATTTGTCATTATCTATTTTGAGTATATCCTCACCAATGGTACCAAGAACACCAAAGGTTAAAGGATCACCATCAGGATCTTCACCGGTCAATCGGTAAATCTCCTTATTCAAGGAAGATGGACCTTCCTTTACACGAATCACAATCTCCGATCCACTCGCACCTCCGCTTCCACCGGCACCAGGAGAGGTGGTAAATCTTGGAGGGAAATTATTATCGGCAAGTGAATTAGGAATTGATGATGGCGATGAAATTACTGTTGGACAGATTAAATTAATCCCAAGGAATAATGTTATTAATAGATTAGGTGACAATGAGATTATCCAAATGGACAATAAAAGGTAACGAGTAACTATTAATCCAATGACACTTAGAGCACTTTTCATGACACAAAAAGATGATGATAAAGATGAAGACGATGAAAACATTGGCACTTTAATTGGTTTCATTTTAATACAATTTACTGGTGATGATGATGATGATAATGTTGATGATTTAATTGAAGACAATTTCGCATCTAATTGTAACATGTTAACTTTAATTCACATTTTTCACCGGAAAAAAAAGTTGAGAACTTAATTGTTGCTCGTTGTTAAATACTAATAGTGTTTATCAATTATTCCGTTTTGATTTTTCAAAGGTTGATGTTCATTAAACTCCATCCATTACTATTACACATCTCAACTCTTCTTGAAATTGTACAGGTAAATAAATCCAGGTAAAAACACAATACACCTTAACTGTGCCTACACTTACTGGCAACTGAACTATTGTTATGGTTGGAGATTTTTTTTTCTGTTCCCAGTCAACATTCAATGCGAAAACATAACAAAAAAATGGGAAGACAGGAAAAGAGAAGATGATGAAGGAAGATAAAACCTGTTTTTCTCTCTCTTTCTCTCACTCCCCATCCTCCCTTCTGTCTTCATCTTCATCTCCATCTCCATCATCATCATCATCATCTCTCTCTCTCTCTCTCTCTCTCTCTCTCTCTCTCTCTTCTCTTTCTCTTCTTACATTTGAAAAGTTTTTCTTTCATATTCTTTGTGCTTATGTTACATTGCGAAATTGTAGCAAAAGGCCAATGACAATTTTCTCAAAAACTTTTTCATCCTCATCTTCAGTTTGATAAGGTTAATTCCCGTTAGAACTTATGTGTTTCTTTTATCAACATCGAACTTGTAAAGCGCTGTTTGATCTTTCGACCTGGAATTCGCTCTATGTGGACCTTTTTGGTATTCTTTTTCTCTCCTTTTTCTCCATCTCTTTTGATGATTTATTTTCTTCTTTCTTGTCATCATTTTATCCTTTTTTCTTCATAGGTATTTGTTATTCTTCCAATGATATGTAATAAATACCTGTGTTTCTATCAGATTAATAGATGAATGTGCAAATAAACATCATAATCTCAATATGATGATACTTTTTCATGCTCATCTTTTATCATCATCATCTCTTTCCTGGTAGATCTTTTCTCTTTCTTCATCTTCATCTTCCTTTTCTTTTTTACCTGTTCAAAGTCAGAGAAGATAAAAAATTACAGGTAACCGTGATTCTTTTATTATGAGAAACAAAAAGTTGATTTTTTTCGAGCTAAACGAGAGAGAGAAAGAGAGATGAGGATAAACTTTACTGTTTTCATCCTCATCTTCATTAACCATCTCTTATCATTGGTAAATCAGCAAGAAACAATGTTCTGACCTACCTATTATACTACATGATACAGGTAGGATTTGAAGAAGACTGAAAAAAACGTGAAAATTCAGGTAACACACAAATTCAATCATGAAAAACATTATAACTTTTTTTTAATAAGCAAAAATATCTTGTTTATATTATATAAAAGAAAAGGTAAAAATGGTAACCATCATGAAATCAACAGTAACAGTTAATCATTGTGTTCATTAATTAATAATTTATGTAAATGATGAACAATTAATGCTTTGATAATCAATGTAACAATTGGTGCATAATTAAATTAGCTGATCAAGGTGATAAAAGAAAAATGAAAAGTTAAGAAAAACACTAAAACCAACAATAACATTGGTTAGATTGGCGATTCGACCGATTAAAAGAAGAACAAGAAACTGACCTAAGGTCAATTTAGAACATTTTTTTTTCTATCCCTGGACCAAAATTATGACTATTCCTATGAGAGGTAAATGATAATGATGATGATGAGGAGGCTCAGTCAACATCTTTGTTATTACATCATGTTGATGATGGATCACCAGGTAACTTCATCTTCATGATCATTTTTTTTTCTCACTGACTTATCAATCTCTTTCTATGGGGCAAAATAATGATTAGTATTATGTACTAATCGTTATCGTGTTCAATCAAAATCCCAAATCTTGACCCACTCTATAGAGTCCATTAGTTGGCCTCTTTTCTTAGCTTCTAACCTGTTGACCCTTCCAATAGGTAAATAGAGTTTGTTGGAAAAATTTCCTAGATGATCAACAACTTAATTAAATTTTCTGCTAGTTGATTAACTTATTTACCTTTTTAAATTGTGAATTAATTTGTTCCCAATGAAATTTAATCAACAAGCAACAAGTAACTCAACAAGTTTCATGTTTATCCGGTTCGGGTTTTTATTATTAATTTAAATGATTAAATAATGAAACAATTAACATTGAATTAAAAGTTTTTCATGTTTAGTGAATTAATTTTAATCCAGTGATTTAAATTTGGTAAAGAAAAATTGTTTTTCTTGTTTAATTACTTCATTCCTAAGATGATTCAGATTAAAGTAAAGGTTAGAAGGATTTTAATTCTTTGAAAAAGATTTAAGATAATCCATTTTTCATCCTCATCTTTATTGTCATCATTATATAATTCATTTGTCTTTCTACTGTCACCTTAACCTGTCTTCATCTTAATCTTCATCCTCATCTTTTTGTTATTGTTATTGTGAGACTTGAAGTAATTGCTTTCCGTTGTTATAAAACCATCACGAACCTGTAACAGTATCAAGTTAATCATCAACATCAAGAGTAGCAAAAAAATATATATGAAATAATTAAGATGATAATGATACTTATATTAATGATAATGACCAACGTTAACAATTAATTTTCGTTGACCAATGAAGATAACAAAAAACATTTCGTGTCATCACCAAGTAGAAAGCTACAAAAAAATAATGATCAACCACTGGTCAAGTTCAGGTTGGACACTGGACTCTCCTTTTCCCCGACATCATCAGCATCCTCATCCTTATTTTCATCCTCCTTCCTCTCCTAAAGCCTTGAATCTTTCTCTCTCTCTCTCTCTCCCTTCTCCTCCCATTTTTACTTGACCATTTCAATGATGATTCATATTCCTGAAAAAAGCAAACCAGAATAATAATAACCATCAATTGACTCAACGAAGCAAAAAGTTACCATGAAAAAAGCATTGAGATGAAAATAAAAACACCCACTGGACATTAATCAACATTGGTACAAACTGACCAAAAAGTCAATGTCAAAGAAGATGAAACTTTGCAAGTAGAATGAATTAACTAGCAGATGATGAAGATAATGATAGTTTATCACTATCATCATGAAAAGGTATCATTCCAATGGATGCAAATGATACCTTGGTGAAGAAAAAGTTTCAACAGGTAACAAAATCCATTACATTTTCTGCTATCATTTCAATTGGAATTTTTTTCTTCTTTACAAAGTTTCGTATCTTTAATTGTTTCCCTTAATCATCATCACCCAATGGTGATGGAAAAGAATATGATTAAATGATGATGATGATGATAATACATCATCTTCATCACCTAACAAGAAGAAGGTATATAAAAAACGATTCCATTTTTTTCACCACTGAATTTGGATCCAGGTAAATAAATGATATCTAATCATTTCTGCATCATTGAACTATCAATTTAAGATGATTAGAATTAGAATGATGATGATTATATGATAATAATGCAAATCAAATTTGATTGTTTGCACAAATTAGCATCATGATTATCAAATTATACTCATTTCAACCCAATAGATTTCCTATTTCTTAACATAGTGGTGGAAATTTTTTTCTCTCGCTCATCCAAACAAATCATCCACCTGAAATTCATAGTTAATTGTTATTACCTTTTCATCAGGTAGACTTTCAACTTACCTTAAATATGAGAGAGCATGAAAGTCTTTACAGGTAACCGTGATATTGCATTAGTCATTAAATATTACCCTGTATACATATGAATACATGGTAGAAGAAGATGAAAAAGTTTTCCAAAAGAAAATGAAAGTTTTTTTTTCTTCCAATTTTCTTATGCATTAACCTTATCATTAAATCACAAATATATTTACTCAATGAATGATATGAATCCAGTTTCATACCGATGATAATATTATGATTATAACCAGAAAACACCATGAAAATGATTTCCTTTGTTGGAATCATTTTCTTATGGAGATTGTTTCACTTTAAGCCAATTGAAGGGGTCAATCAATGGTCAAGAATGAGAAAACAATTCTGACCATTCAAGTTAATATGAAATGTAAATGATAATTTTTCATATACGATATTTTATAAACAAGAAAAACTTTCATCAGAATCATGATATTTAAATCAGTTGAAAATCTTGTCAGAAAATTGTCAATTATTTTCATGGTAAACACTTTAATCATCATCATTTAAATTGAAACCGATACAATTTATAAATTGACTTAATGGTGATGATAATGATTATCAATGATAATCAAATCACTTTTCCAGGTTTAGTTACCTTAAATTATAAACAGATTCATGATATTAATACAATTACAACAAGGTAAATTTAATCATATACGGGTTTTGAATTAATAATACATTGGATAATACAGTTAATCAATTGTGTAAATTGTGTGTGTTAATTTAAATAATCATCAACAATCAAACAGTTGCACATTGATTTAAGCCTTTAGGCTAACGATTACTTTGCTCATTTTAATGATATTACAATCATGGTTTCAACTGAATTACATGAATTAGGTTTTAATTTGCATCAAGTAATTATCTAAATATTTGATTAGCACGTTTTGTTAATAGTGATCATAAATTTCAAATGAACATTGGAAACAATCAAGTTCATCTCAATGATGAACTTAATTTTTTTTCATCATTTTGTTTCGTATATTTTTGTATGTGTTTGTTTTCTGGTGCTCGTTCAGCACATTGACAACATAGTGATTATGATGATCTTCATGAGGATGAAGGAAGGAAACATTATTTTGAGAAATTCAATGGAAATGAATTCAATCTTGTGGAACTGAATAAGAAAATGTTTGCCAAGAACTTTTTTCTTCTTCTCTCTTCTTTTCATCATCTTATCATCAATGATAATTGAGATGATTATATGATGATGATAAATTGGATGGAGGAAAAAAATAACAAAGGAAACACCTTGAAAGAGATCAGTCAGTTAGAAAACATTGATGACATAGGAATTGAATGTGAGAATTAAGTTAATCACGTTGATTACAAGATGATTAACCATTGAGAATAAAGATAATTTTTCTTTCATTAGCTTTACTGGTTAATCTTTAAACATACAATTAACTTTTGATTGTAATCCTCAATCTTAATCATCGATTTGGGATAAATAAAAAAATAGTTTCAATTGATGATTTGATTAATTGTGACAAAATTAAGCACATGAGAATCACCTTATTGGCTCAATCTACATGATAACAACAATTAAGAAAACAACAGTTAAAGATAATCCGTTAATTAACAATAATGATACGATGAAATTCAATCGATTCCCATGAATCAATTAATCGTCACTGATTCAGATTCCAAAACGATACCGAAAATGATGAGAAATTC